TAAAAAGTTATGCCCTATATTTTACTGTTTAATAATATTTCATACAATTTTAATTTAATTTTTTTTTTAATTTGTATGCTAGTACATTTTAATTCTATACGGCATTCAGCGAGTGATTAATATGATGCTATAATGGAGAGTCGTCTTTATAACCAGTAACGATTAATCTTCAGTTATTTGTTTTAGAGCTACGCTAAAAAACAAAACCGATTTGGTCAAAAACTGATTTTATTTCCGTTTTTCTAAATGTATTTTACATTTTCTTGTCGCTTTTGAAAACTATTGGAAAATTTGACTTCCCCAATGCTGAAACTAGTTTCATTATTCCATCAAACAAGATACCTACCGAAGTTGAAAATCAAAGCATTTTTACTGCCCCAAAAGGTGAGAAAATGATTCTGAACGGAGACTGTATGTCGGTCTAGGTTTAAGACTTATTGTATACATATTTTATACATAACTATGGTATTAAAAAAAAAAAAAATAACCTATAATAAATTCCAAAGTAATCGTATCACAATATCCATTAGGTACCTACTTATAACGTGTTATACATCAACAACAAACCCTGATACTATATAATAGATAAGTATATAATAGTGTACTTTAGAATTTTCAAGTACCCACGAATAATATTATACAATCACAACAAAATAACTAAAATAGTTATTCTAGGTTTTTAATATGTAATTTCGTCCAAATTTGAACTTAAAATGACTATAAAAATAAACTGTGCTTGTGTATTTTTTAGATTTTTTGGATACAGAATTAACTACTTACGTGGAATCTATTGTTTTAAATTTTCAATCCTTAGATATAAAAGTAGAACAGTTTATACATTTTTAACTACAAAATAATTATTCAATTTTAAATATGATCAATTTTGTCAAAATTCAATCATTTAAAGGCCCAACAGATAAAACTATTGATATTTATAGAAAAAAAAACTAAAAAATTGAAAACTGAAAATGTCCGTAAACAGCTCAAAAAGAGTCAAAATATTTTCAAAATTGTATGGTGTATAGGAATTGATAAAATAAACATTCAGTAAAATTTTCATGTATCTACAGTTATTCTTTTTTGAATCACAACAAAATAAGGAAATCGCTACATAAGAAATCGAGTGAATATCAAGTGTTGTAAAAATTAGGATTTTAAACACTCATAAAATTTTAATTTGACTTTCTTATAGAGATTTTTTTTTGAATCTTATAAGGAATCTTGTATTATATTTTAAAATCTTAGATTTAAAAAGAAAAATTTTTACGAATTCTTAACTCAAGATTCTATTTTATCTAATTTTCGTGATTTTTCCATTTTTTGTCAATTTTTGAACTTTAAATGCTTATAAAAAAAAACTGTGACTAAGGATTTTTAATATTTTTCATCTGCCTTCGAAACAATATACTATTAGCCTTATATTAAATTTTCAAGCGTTTTTAACCAACAAATAAAATTGTATTGATATTTTTAGAAAAAAAACTAAAAAAAAAATGGAAAATGAAAATGTCCCTAAACAGTTAAAAATAAATCAAAATATTTTGAAAATGTTATTATGTATAGAAAATGCAAATATAAATAACCAGTGAAAATTTCATGTTTCTACGGTCATTTGTTTTAAAGTTACACTAAAAACCAAATTAAATTTTGTCAAAAACCGATTTTGCGTAAAAATTAACGTTTTTCTTTAATTTATTATTTTGTTTTACCGGGTGCTTTTGAAAACTATTGGGAATTTTCAATTTTGACCCCCTAAAAGTACCAATAAGATTCATTTTCCCATCGAAGAAGATGCTGAAGTTGATAATTGAAGCATTATTTCGACTACTATTCGTGTACACGGACCCCAAAAAAAAAAAAATTTAAAAAAACACACATCATTGTAAAATCAATATATTCATCGTTCCACTCAGAATCTAAAAAAATTATAAAATATAAAACAAATTAGAATTAGTTTTATCTTACTATGGAATTCGAACTTGAATGAGTTTCATTACATTTTATTGACAATTTTTCTTATGGTCAATGTATTATTATTATTATAAGATACTCAACTATAATATACTACGGCACATAGTAATTTAAATATTTAATTCATATACTTTAAAGGTATCGTATAGCGATAACGATTTTAACGTACACTATACCTACGACATCACCACCACAGATACGTGTGTACAGTGTACACCATGAGGGCTTTTATTCGATTAGGATTTATTTATAAAACGTTTCTAGGCAAGACAAGAATCAATATTTTAGTATTTAGTCTCAGTCAGTTCCTCGGCATCGAGTTATCGTGTTATCGTGCCGACTTATTAGCCGTATAATATTATAAATTTATTTGAACATTTAAATTTAATAATTTGTAATAAAATGCCGAAGCCGGAAAGTTAAACAGCATTTAAGTAGCCGGTTAAATTGTTTTGTGTCTGAGTTTGGTGCCCGTATGTTTTCGACCGATGGTAAAGTCCTGTACTGTAACTATTGTGACGTTAAAGTTGGGAGTGAAAAACGGTTTAATGTTACGCAACACATTAATACAGATAATCACAGAAATAATAAATTAATAAATAATAATTTTAATGTATTATGTATTTATTATTTAAATAAAAAGGCTAAAAAAAATTTTAAGTGTATATTGTAATTGCATATTATGGGTTTTTTTAGTGCATAAGTGCTTGAATATTTAGAGCTTTTTTAGAGCACAAGTCATCTGCCCTAATAATAAGGAAGAAGGCTTATAAAAATATGAAAGTCATAAGGGTACACATACAATACACCTACAAATTACGATTGTTATCATATTATATAAAGCCCGGTCTAGACCGAAAATCATTTGTCGAAAACATATTATGTTTCTGACATTGTCGTCGACCAATATTTATATTACGGCTTATGAAGGGAACTCGGAAACAATGTCGGCGACAAATTTTTCTTTGGTCTGGACTTGGCTTAAGAGTTAAGACACACACAATGTTAAGGGGGCTGCAACCCACGTATTTTTCATACGTTTTGGACCAATAAGCGGTGGTAAAGTACACATACTTCGGAATGTCTGATTTAAATTTTTTATACATGTTTGAATTCATTGATAAAATATCTAGATTTCTTAGGAAGTTGATTTTCCATTTTCAATTTAAAATGACCTTTAAATAACCATATTTTTTTTTAGAAATCCCACGAAATAATTGAATTATATTTGTATTTATTTTTGGTGTATCTGATTTTAAATAAAAACAAAGTGATTCCTAAGAAGCATAGTCTAGAAGTTTATAAATTCAACCATTTTTTCGAAATTACAATCAAACTTTGGGAAGTATGATTAATTCACTACCGCTTTTAGTAGTTTTATAGTCATGCAAACTAGAATGTATTTCATTTTTCGGGATGAATTGACATGTGCGTGCGCGTGTGAGAGTTGCTTCCGGCGCGGTTGCCCGACTCGACGTGCAGCGATTCTCAGAAACGATAACGGATACTAATGTTCATTTATTACTCACACACAGATACAGTATTAATTTATATAATGTCACATGAATTGCCTAAATAGTATTCCTTAAAATATGCTACGGTGCAGCCCCCTTAAGTTCGTTAGTTCGGGGACACAACAACCCACAAGCCAACGAATTCGGGATGACCATACTTTTCGTAAGTATTTCGATATTTTGTATTTTATAAGAAATATGTAATAATAACAATGTGTCAATATATAAATTATAACTTAATATTTGATCAATATTTCCTAACCGAGCTATGATTAGATTTTAATTCAAAAGGCTCTGAAAACCCTGTTAGGTACAGTACCTAATGGCTAATATTATTATATTTTAATTAATTACTTAGTGACTGGTGTAATAACAATTCTGGCCTTTGAGATTTCCTTCGGTGATACGGACATTAATTTCATTGAAAATGTATTATCATTAAGTATAAATGGTACTTTACGAACAACAGGTATTCTTTTCATTTTGTTAATATCTAAATATTACCAATAACAATAATTAAATTTCACAATTTAAATCTAGGGTACACAATAATTTTGCCTAACTTTTAGGTTGATTGAATATGTCAGACAAATAAACATGGATTTTATAATAATATAAATTATGATTTATGGATAAAAATATAAAATTTATATAAAATATAAATGTTTATAGGTATAACTAATATAATATACTAGTTACCTATAAGATTATAATTACAAGATTTATATAAATATTTCTTAGTGCAGCAACTGAGAAATATTTTGAATTTGAAATTATCTTACCTATAAAAACATGTGGGTGATGTAGCACCTAATATAAATAAATTGTCTTGATAATAATTTAATGGAAACTTCAAATAACATAAATAATTCTTTCTTTAAAGTCTTACATATTTTTAAAATACAGTACTGTAATAATGTTATCACAATAAATTAGAACAATACCTATTTTTACTTTTAATTTCGGTACCAACAGACAATACTAATAGTTGTTTTGATGTTTTTTAGTACCTATAATTACAAGATAAACAAAATACCAAAATATTTGTTTTGGGGGACGAGGTGGCCGAGCGGTCCAACGCGTCGGCTGAGGTGCAGCTGATCCGGGTTCGATCCTTGGTCACCGGGCGGCATTTTTCTTCGGGCAAGTCACGGTGTCCGGAGAACAAGTGCCGCCATCCTCCACCCGGGCATGGCAGATACCTACGGGTGCCCAATCAAAAATGCTGCTAAACACAAACACTCACGTGTAAAAACTTACCATTCCAAACCCTACCACCTCCACAATACAACCCTGCAAACAGCTAATGGCCATAGAAGCCTAGGCTTAAGGATCAATAAAAAATAAAAAATAAAAAAATATTTGTTTATTTCTGAGAGTCTTTATTGTTTAAACTTAGAAACACATGAATATGTATTGTATGTATTGTGTATAAAATGAATATACATTATGAAAATATATTATATAAAATAGTATGGAAATTTGCATTGTATATACTTCGAACGATATAAATAATCAATTTTTAAATATTTTCACAATTGAGTCCCATAGGCCAAGTGGCTTTATAGAACCCGTGTTATTATTACGCACACGATTTGCTAGAAGCAGGGCGAAAGGATTTGCACCGGCTATCTTTATAACGGGTTTGGATGTTGGCACCATAACTGCACCATGTATGTCATCTCCATCGCTCGTCATTTGAAGGGCACGTCGTATTCTGTTTGAGATAAACAAAAAAATAACACGCTTTACTATTTAAATATTATTTAATTAATATCAAAGCATTCAAAGTTTTTTTTTTTTTAAATTATTACCGCTCACCAATTTATAAGTACCTACCTAGTTATAGTTCATACACTAAACAACTAAATGTCATTAATACCCCTTCAACCTACGAAATCCATCCGTAACTACTCGTTATTCACTATAAACACTTAGATAAATTTTTTTCTACTACATAATTATTTAAATGTCCGCTTGATGCATCATAGGGGAAAGTGTTGTACCTTAGCACCATTTTTATTAAAAAAATTCTAGTACCTTCAATTTTGAATATTAAATGTTCATTTCTACTATTCATTTAGACAATATACATAAATATATTATGGTAATTTTTTTTAAAGCCACAATATCAATTATTTTTTAAAAACATAACAAATGGTCCAAGGTACAACGTGTATTGTATCTTGGTATTTGGGGTATTGTACCTTGGTTTGCATTGAAATATGCATACTTCATTTCCAAAATAATTGTATATTATGTATTAGTTATTATTTATATCAATTATTATAGTTAATAAAAATATTTATTATTATTTATAGATAACTACCTATAACAATACACAATTGATGGGATGCCACCATTGGGTGACTTCCAACTCCTGTTAATCATCCCCATCACATTTACTTATTGTAATATGTATATATTATAATTATAGATTGTAAATAACATTTTTGTTAAATTAGTGTTCAATCTTATGTGAATATGAATTTCTCCCTCTTTATTTTATCATTTTATCAATGATAAATGAGTCGCAAAATGGTGGCATAGCATACCCATTATATGTAGAGTCTTACACTTCCCTTATTAATTCGAGTTGAAAAATAAGAACATAACAAATTATGTTTTAAAATTCAAAAATTGTTTTTTTTGTGATAAGAAAATGGTTCGCTGCTTATCAAAAAAAAAAAGCGTTTTTCTTATCAATATCTATATTATTTAATGTAGTAGGACTAATGACTTAAATTTCATCCATGAGATTTTGTTTTCCCCCAATATTTTATAAAATTTTTACATTAGTCCAAGGTGCAACTTAGTTCCCTAATATAAAAAAAAATAACCATATAATAATGTGGATAACATCATAATATTTGTGTTTTACAATATCATTACCATGAATTGCAAAAAAAAAAAGAATATATTATAGTTATAACTATTCTTAGATGTTTATAAGTACAGGTTTTAATACTCTATGATACACAATGTTTAGGCATTCATGGATGCTTATAAGATTTTATTCAGTTTTTCAATAGGTACTATTATACCTACCACTAAAAAAATAATTTAATAGACGTTTCAAGTTAATACTTATTACACTATATTGATGACGAAAATGTGAATAATATATTTTTATGTTAAATCAATATAAGCCATTAAGTGGCCTGACTACTACTGTCAAATTTAGTTCAAAAGATATTCTTAAGTTTTGACAAAATTAAATGTAGCCATCCTACGCTATTTGATTTAAGTTCTGAATTTCTGATAAAAGATTTGAATTCAACAGCAAAATGTCTATATAGACGTACGGAACACTTTCAAATAAGGTAGTCTTACAGCTATTCTGAGCACAATTTAGTGACTTACCCATAGGCCATAACATTAGTGCTAGGCACTGTTATATAGGTACATACTATAATATACAATAACACTATAATAATTTAGTAAATAATAGAATGATAAGTTATGAAGCCTTTTTGCTACCTACTAGACTAACCTTTTGTCATCGTCTTTAGTTTCGCGAATCTTTCTATGAAATGTGTTCGAACGGTTCCCAAAATTCTGTGGAATGTACCCCCTTCCCTGGTACCGCTTGGATATCAATTGTTTTGCCTTGGTAGATGTTATGTCTGTGGCGGATATGTTCGTGTAAAATACCATCAACAAGTTCCCATTGATGTCCCAAGGAATCACCTCCGGGTGTTGAATCATATCTGATAAGCCGTTGCACGAAGTGCCTTTGCTAATCGCAACTCGGAGCGTCGGGTTGTTATCTTCGTCGATCTTTTCATACAACTGCAGCATACAAGAGGACAAGAGAAAGAGTAAAAATATTAATCAACATTATTTAAGCAAGATTAGATTAGAGAGAAACACGTATCCCGTTTTACACCATTTTAAAAATATTATTATACAAATTGTTTCAAATATCTTATAAAATAGTCAGCTAATAATTAAACTTGTGTTTTAAAGTCGTCAAGCTAAGTTCAATGATTAGCAGACTATAATATATTAATTATTAAAATAAATTATATCACAATTTTTAAAGAGGGAATTTTTTTTATACTTGGCGTGTAAAAACACGCAATTTGGTGGAGTGTTCTTGTTCGGATTATTAATTACACGAAAACAAATTAATTAGGTATACGGAATTCAGCAGTTTTAAAAATAGGATGATCGAACTGAATTTTATTCAATAACGAATTTAAAGATGTTTTCAAATGCGCCAGTCGGTAAACCCAGTTGTAGACAAAATAATAATATAGGTACTTACGGCACATCTGTGAGTTTCCGTATTTTTGTCAGCTTCATCGTATGGCCATACCTTGCTTATAAACATACGTCCCTTTTTGATGTCTGCTGATGGTGAGGGAGGTCTTGATACACAGTAAAAATGAAAATATTCTCTACCTAGATATGCATCCATGGGTAACAAAGCAATACGAAACAAATACAAATTAATGTGAATTGTGATATTTTTAAAACAAATTTATAAATTATAATACAAAATTACTAATTAGTGTTAATCAATGAGGCCATGAAGGATACAATAAAAATCTATGATACTCCAAAAGTTCCAAATGAACTGGTTAGTAACTATCTATACTTTAATATACTAATAACACAAGTCTTGGGTTTGGGTATATCAACGGTTTAACTCGTTTTTTATTTATGTGGTATGATTTTGTGACAATTCCAAAACGTAAGTACGTTCTAAAATAAAACAATTTGAATAATTAAAAACTTTATAATATCTTGAAATTTATTATTAAGTCAGAAGTACTTTGAAAAAATACTTGATAGCTTATGATTTCAAAAATTACATTTAAAAAGTTATCATCATTTTGCAATCTTCTTAGTCAAAGTACTGTAGTATCAGATAGATTATTTGACTTATGTAGTTGCAAATTTCCAGTTTCCAAGATGGAATTTTATGTATAATACAGTACATAAAGTAGTTACAAATAAACAGAATTTAGTCTTTGTGTTTAATGAGTTAAAAATGAAAAAAATGAATGTCATGTTAATGGTATAATATATTTTACGAACAATGTGGAATATTTTGATATTTTATATTTCTTGGACAATATGAATTGTTAATCAAATAATTAATGTTACTACTTGTTTTACTTTTGTTAAACTGCAAGATCATTCTTAGTGTCATGGGCTCAGTGCAGAATCCAGTACCTATTGTACTAAAATAATTGATTGTTATACATACCATGTGTAGTGCAATGTGGCCCAATCCGATGCATATTTTCGAACCACAAACTATAAGTTTGTGGAACGAAGTTGCTAGAATTGTAGTGTATGTAGCCACACCCACTGATCAGAGCTGAAACGGCACCCTTAACAGTAACGAGATGCTCACCATTCTCTATGTAAGGGCAACCTTCCACTGTAATACATATAGAAAATAAATATAATTAGCAAGTTTGGTTTTTATAATGGGTTACCTACTTAGGGGTGTCGAGAAAAAAATGAAACTAGATAAAAGGCATATGGAAACAAAAGTTAGTTGCTCAAAATCAGTTTAATAATTATTAACCGAAAAATAAATTTTTGTAGTGAAGGATAAAATGAATTTAAAAGCCAAGGACAAAAGGAGATGACACACAAAAAAATACATCTTTGTAAAATCAACACAATATGAATATCACTCAGTTCTGATCCTAATATTTTATTTTCAAAATCTAAAAAATACTTAAAACTTACAAGATTTATTTTATGCATAATAAAAGTTATGATATAAATTAATATAATAGAAATACAAAGGACGCAACGAAAAATTAATATAGGTACTTACTTTCTACCAATTCCCTATCGGTATGTAAGTCAACTGCATCACCGGTAATGGAAACGATGGTAATAGTTGTTACTATTGATACAAGTATCGACGCCATAGCGATTTTATAAATGGAGATCATTTGAGAAAACGAAGAAAATGTATGGCAAACAAATGGTGAGAATAAAATAAAAATATCTGGATATGCGAAAGAAACGTGTTACTTGAAGACAGATACACTGGTGAACTGGAACATAAATGAAAACGGAATGCACACTGGACTGTGGTCTCTGATTCACTTTACACCCTCCACGAGGTATTTCATTCGCCTTATTGTTCGATTTTGTAACGATGGTACAGGTAATCGTTTCCACCACCTATGGTGTATAGAAGCGGCCCCACCGGCGCGCACTATTTGGCACTCCCCCACCAGCAAACACACTCATATAATAATGTCTTTGTGTATGTTTGAGAGAACTGTACAATGTACATTGTACATACTACATATTATAAACGTTCACGCACTATGTCGTAAATAAAGACTGGCTGAAATTATAATCCAGATACTTTTGGAATTTATCAGTATCGGTTCGGTACTGGTCCTCCAAAAATAAAATAACTGTTACAATTCGATTAATTTATCAAATAAAGGTATCAGCTCCAAATAATTTCGGTATTGGTTTCAGATAATTTAGATATCGAAAAGTATAATAATTTTAAATACTTATCCGGAATGTGGGTTTAATTAATAGTATGAGAAATATTTGAGAAATCATAATATAGCCATACATAGTTTATACGCAAAACAGTAATACCATTAAATTATGATGAATACAACTAATTTATTTTTGAACCTAATAGAACCTATTTGATTTAAAAATTCAGGTTCGGTCCCGGTACTTTATTTATTAAAATAAAGGTTTCGATTCCGGTTCCAGTTCTTAATATATTAAGGGTTCTGGTTCCAGTCCCTGTAATATAAATTACAAATTAATATAAATGTTAATATATACATGGTTTTGAAATTGAATGCATCAGATTTGTATGAAAATACCCGATTTTAATGAAGCTAAATACCTAATTATATAAATTGGGTTATCGAAAAAATTTAGTTTCAACTTTTACAGTACTATAACGAGTAGGTACCTAGTTAAAATGTATTTTTTTACGACTTTATAATATCTATTATCAAGATATGCCATTTTAGGTGGGTTCAATTTTTCCCGGACACAGTCGGGTGATATAACTAGTATAATATATTATTATAAATAACTAAACATTAAAATATATTACTAACTCAAATGTTGTTAAAGTTGACCAATATCTTTGAAATATTTTGATTGAAAACACATTGAAGTGTTTAAGTTTTCACCCATATGAGTCACAGTATAGGTACCTAGTAATATCATATTATTTATTTAAAAAGTAATTTTACTAGTCGATCTGTATAATATACTACCTGACTACCTTGGTACGTATATTACCTATACCTATCTACGACACATATAGGCTATCGTCGTAGTCAGGTACGCTTCAGCATAACTATTATTATATTCTGTGGCATAACGATCGGCGTTTTGGGATTTAAATGTTTATGAAGGCCGTATTAGAGAGGGTTTGGGGTTCAACCCCCCCCCCCCCCCCAACGAATTTATTTTTTATAGTTCATGAACTTAATTTATGAAAGTCGATTAACTATAATAATTTACCATTCTTCCCACTAATAATATTATAATAACTGTATAATATTATGTTTGTATTGTTATACCTTATGCGGTTATATTATATAATATTGTATTATACATAACTTATAATATGATTAATAAAATATAACCGTGTGAATACAAATTTTGTTGGCATTTACTATGTATAGTAAATATGTCACAAACGATTTATCGACGGATGACGATAAGCCGATAACTTATTGAACGCTGTACGTATAATATATCAATAATAATATAATATTATATTATTATTAGTCTAGACGTCTATATATTGCCCCGCCTGGCGCCTATATATAAAAACAAATACCTACGGGATACTGGTATCAAAATTTGAAATACCGCCAGCACTAATAACATAGGTATACCTAGCTACGACATCAACACCAGAACGTATATTTTCTAACTTTAATAGATAAAAAAACTATTAACAAAACTCATCAGACGACCAAGAACGTCTTACAGTTCGTTTGTCTTACTAGTTCTTTTGTTTTTTTGAATATATATAGACATATTTAAATCAATGCAGATGTTATGATCGATTGCTACGGAAAATATATAGGTAATTTAATTTGGCAGGTGTTAAAATATTGTTTAACATTGGTTTCTATTTTTGAAAATAAATTGAGGGGTTTCATGTAGGTACCTACCATTGAAAAACAGATAAAAAAAAATAATAAATCATTGTTTGATATCGACAGTTTTCTCCTTAAAATGTCTACAGTATATTTTTAAATTTAAAGAAAGTGATTTTGGACAAAACGTTCCAATTCCAGCATTCTAGGAATACCGAATATGTCCCTTTATAAATAAAAACTGGAATAAGCGCCTTTTAGAAAAAAAAACAAATCAATTTATATCCATCATAATTCCTGACAAAAATTCTGCTGAATTAATTTTACGTGACAAAAATTAAGCACCACCGACCACGGGCGCTCAGTTCTCGTGTTAGTTTGTCATCGACGAGTTGACATCGGCGTTTAACGTGTTAAATAACGAATGACTGTGTAATACCTATTATTATTTTTTGGAAATATTTATAATTTATACATATTTTATGTTTATAACATTTTTATTTTTCAGAAACTTAAGAGTGCTTGAGCGCCCTTATACCAACAGAGTCCGGGCAAGGATACCCACTTGCGACCCCCCCGCCCCCCCTAGACCCGGCATTGTATATAATACCTGTCTTAAACCTTATTTACTCGTTTCACTTATTTTGTAAAAAGTTGTACTTGCTTATTTTATTTAGATCACTATATTATAGAGTCCAACAATTGTGCAAAACACTTTAAAATAATACAACTTGGAGGGTGCCTATATTATATTCTGACATAATAAAATTGTATAAGTAGAATCCAGAAATGGATGATTTAAAAATCTTAAAAAAATGCACAAAAAAGTAAAGTTAAAATTACTTTAAAACTGAAAACAAAAATACTAAAAATACTTTGTAATGACTTAACATTTTTAAAAATTTACGATTTACAAAATGTACTTTCTATATTACAATAATTCATGTAGGTATTATATAACATTTAGGTATTGTATAAATCAACATTATTATGGGTGCTCTTTAAAAAATTTTACTCGAAAATATTTTTTTGCAGTTTTAAATAAGTTGATTGACTCTTGACAATTTTTTTTCTGATTGGCCGGGCCTAAAATAGTATATCTGTCTACAGTTTATTAAATAATCGTAGACGATGACAACAAATGATAAAGATAATGAACGTCGATAATCGACAAGCTAATGGCAACTGAATGTGTTACAATAAAGTGTAACTTTCAACAAGAAAAATGCAAAAATAATATGTAAAAAAAAATTACAAAAATGAATAAAATGCACAAAAAATACTACAACAATTACCGTAAAGATTTAGAAATAATTTTTCAGTTTGAAATATTGAGTAAAATAGTAGTGATGGCTGTTGTAAGGATAGTTTCTTAGGTATACAGTCTACAACCACACCGAGTACAACATCATTTGTTATATGGAAGGCGTATTATTTTTTTTTCCATTTTTTGAATATCCGAAAACGGTGCCGTGACTCGTATAATAATATTATTATATTGTAGGTAGGTACACACAATGTTCGCCGACCGCCCGACCCCATTTTTCGTATACGCTGCGGGATATTTTAACCACCCCGCACCATTCCGCATCAACGAAGGTCTGGGGATGGAATTTGTTGTTATAGAATATAATATTAGGTATAAGACGTATGTTTGTACCCATACAACGTACGGTGGGTAAGCCACAGCACCTTCTAAACTGCGCGCGCACACACATGTACAGGAATATTTATTTTATATAAATTAGAGTGAATCGAATTCTTATGAAACTTGATGGCAAGAACATTATCTATGTTTGTATGTGTATGCTTTACAATAGTTAAATTTTTTAGCAAGTTATGCGTATAATATAATAATATACCATAAATTAAAAATGCTCATAACTCATTTAAAACCGGAATCTTCGTAAAAAGCCCACATTCAAACACAGATAATGTTATTACTATAATTACCAACAAGTTTCGTAATAGGTCGATTCACTCTAATTTTTAAACTAACGAATCTAAACGTGATTTGCTAAGCGTAAATTTGCTATGTTACGCTTACGCACTTGTAACAAATATCTGTGTGGCGTGATAGTCGGTTGTGTATTAAGGAAATAAAGAGGACGCTACACCCACGTTATGTGTTGTCTCAGTCTTACATAAATGTAAGACAAAGCAAACATTTTTTTGTATAAATAATATCAAAAAAGAAAACTAAGTCTAAAATTAAACATTTTTAAAACCAAAGTCCTTTAGTTTTGTCTAGTTTTTATACTAAAAGCCACGTTTTTTTCATCGTCTGTAGCCCTATTAATATAATAAAGGTACCTACTTAATATAACATTGCTGTATATTATCAGGGTGTCCAAACGGTCTATCGTAATCAATTGTTTGATCTTGAATGATTTCTAATTCGATTTAAATTTGTTAAAAATTTTTAATTATTGTTATACATTTGTCATTTATTAGATATATAGTTATTTAATACATATTTCTCACATGAAAGTTATAAAAGCTGAATAAGTAGCTATTTATACTTGCTGATGATAATTTAGAGCAGCGTGTTAGTTAGCGACTATAACTGAGATTATAATTAATTTACCATGATATTATGCAACGACACGCTTCTACATCAACAGTATAATGTTAATACATTTTAAAACTATTTAGAAATTTAATGTGAAACATTTATTTTAGATAACTTTATACTTTAATTTTATTATTTGTATCAAATATTTTTTTTAAAAGAGTCGATTCTAAAAGAAAAAATGTACAATTGTACCGCAAACATTATCTACTATCGTATTGTCTCCGTGACGGGGTAGATCGGCCTGGAT